ATAACCTCACGGGACAAATTCCACCATCTGTTGGTAATCTAACCAATCTAAGTTGGCTGGATCTGTCAGACAACCAGCTAGGGGGATCACTTCCAGTGTCAGATGGAACTACACCAGGCCTTGACAAGTTGGTCAAAACCCTACACTTGTATGTTACTTGTTTGCCTAAGTTTAACTTGCTTTATTATGTTCTGTTTCCTATGTAGTAATATCATCTAAAGTTTTCTCCTTTATACAGTCATTTGGGACAGAATAAACTTTCAGGCGAAATCCCAGAGCAAATTTTCAGCTCCAACATGGCTCTGATACATCTGTAAGTCTCACTTTTGTTTTCTGTAATTATATTTGGAGTACATAAGTTGCCAGAAAGAATCTAAGTGAGGGCATAAACCTGGAAGTTTTCTGCAATAAACAAATATTGCCTTCTGAATAACAGTGCTTCTGTGCCAGAAGTGGCTAGCATTAGCAATTTGTTTGTATTTCTTATTTTTTTGTTCTTTTGTTTAGTGGAGTAGCAAATCTGCCCTATTCCTCTCTTTCCTTCCTCTTCAGTTTCCATCAAATCACAGGCTGGATTATTGCATGTTTGAAAGCTTTCATTTTTCCTTTTTCTTTCTGCCAGGTTATTGGACGGCAATGAACTCACTGGCCCTATCCCTTCAACCCTTGGACTTGTGCAAGCTTTGCTGGTGGTGTGAGTATCTAGACCACATGCTTAAGCAGATCCATAGTTAGATTATTGTTGGAATTGGATTTCACTGCAGGATTGACTGAACAAATTACTATTTTGGCTGCAGACGTCTTCATAACAATTCCTTAATTGGGAATGTTCCATCAAATCTCAACAATCTCACAAATCTTACTGATTTGTAAGCATGCAAAAGATGGAAGATAATCAGTCTTTGCATTTATTAATTTATCTTCCCTAATAGACAATGTTTTGTAAACTTCTTTTCAGGTATTTGTCTAACAATAAACTGAGTGGCACATTACCCAACCTCACTGGCATGAGCAGTCTCCAAACCTTGTAAGCAGCACATGCCTTTTACATAATACCTAAACTACTCCTTTTTTCTTAGTCTTTTTCTCCCTTTCCTATGTGTCTGCAATGCATGCGATTGATGTCTCCAGTTGAAATTGTTATTCATATAACCCTATACTGTTGTCATTGATTTTCATTCTAATAATATGATTGTGTTCTGCAGGGACTTGAGTAATAATGGGTTCAATCCCTCTGTGATTCCTGCATGGGTTTCTTCTTCGTCGTCCTTAAAAACGTTGTATGTCCATCTCTCTCTCTCTCTCTCTCTCTCTCCCCGTGAGGCAAGGGCGAGAAGAAGGGAATAACAGAATTGGGAATTTCTGGAAGACTTTCAATTCTAATTAGACATAATAACTAATTAGACTCTTAATCAGAATCTTTATTGAAAGATAAACTCTTAATAAATATATTTTTTCCTTCCTTATCTGCATCACTCTCTCTAGTTTAAATGAAGAAGCCAAATATTTCCTTTCAACGTCACACTTCACTGGTGGCGGCCATATGTTTTGTCAAACCATCGCCCAGAATATCTTTCCATCCCCAATGATAATGTTAGCAGCGATTAGATGTGTAAAAATCAGGCTAGTAAATGGTATAATAAATCAATCTCTGAATGTGTTCTTTGCTCCTCCCTC